CATGTTGCAACCACTGTGGAAATCGGTTTGACAGCTCCTCAAAAACCTATTACCCCAGAGTTACCAAACGACCCAGCAATTCTACTCTTAGGTATATATCCAAGAGGACTGAAAACATATTCACGTAAAAATCTGTATACGAATGTTGACAGCAGCATCATTCATAACAGCTAAAAAGTGGAAATAAATCAAGTGTCGTCCATCAACTGATGAACAGATAAAGAAAGTGTGCTATACCAGTAAGAGAATACTATTCAGGTATGAAAAAGTAATGAATTACTGGCTCATGCTACAATATGCATGAACCTTGATAACATTATAATAAGTAAAAAACAGTCACACACTAAGGGCCACATTTTGTATGATTACATTTATATAAAACTAGAGGCCTTGTGCACAAATTGGTGCACGGAGGGGCGGGGCGGGGGGGAGGAACGCAGGAGGTTGGCCGCCAGCCCTCGGCCTCCCTGGGAAAGGGACTGCATCCACCGCCACCCGAAGGCCCCAGCAGGGTCAGGAGAGGAGGGGACAGTCGCTGGCTGGGCATGGAAAGAACAGATGCCAGATACCGACGCCTCCCTCGGTGCCCCACCACCGCGTGGTTCCCCACCTCTCCCCCTCCTCCTTCCCTCACTGCTGCGCCACCACCATGGCAGGCGGCCGGCCCTGGGGAAGGGAGAGAACGGGAGCAAGACAAACCCTTGTGTCGAGGGCTGACTTTCAATAGATGGCAGCGAGGGAGCTGCTCTGCTACATACGAAACCCCGACCCAGAATCAGGTCTCTCTGAATGGTTTAGCACCAGGGGCCGATGGAGGCCAGCCGGCCGGGGGGAGAGGCTGCGGGAGGTTGGCTGTGGGAGCGTACTGGCCACCAGGGGGCAGCTCCTGCATTGAGCATCTGCCCTGGTGGTGTCAGTGCGCATCACAGCAACTGGTGGACCGGTCTTCGTGGTCGTTCGGTCATAACAATCGCTTAGGCTTGTGTATATATAGATACCTAAAACAGGCTAATCCACAGAGACAGAAAGATTAGTGGTTGGTTGCCAGGTGCTGGGGGAGGGAGCAATGAGAACTGACTGCTAATGGAGACAGAGGTGTCTTCTGGAGATAATGAAAATGTTCCGATAGTAGTGATGGTTGTACAACCTTGTGAATTTACTAAAAACCACTGAGGTGTATACATTTTATAATGATGAATGTTACGGTGAATTATACCTCAATAGAAAAATAACTTTTAAATATCCTATATAATAAAAGGCTAATATGCAAATTGTCCCCTCGGGAGTTCAACCGCCCGCTATGACGTGTGCTGACCACCAGGGGGCGGCACAGAATGAAGGAAGGCCCTGGCCAGCAGCTGGCAGCCAGGGAAAGGAAGGCCCCAGCCAGCAACCAGAAGGCCCCCATCAGCCCTGATCACCAGCCAGGCCTGGGGACCCTACCCGTGTACAAATTTTGTGCACCGGGCCTCTAGTTATTAATAAATTAAAATTTATGATAGCCTCTCAAATGTTAGAAGCTTTTCTAATACCTAAAAACCAATCATTTTGATGCTCTAAAATACAATTAATACAATTGCTCCTAAAAACCTAGTCTCATTTCTGATTTTTAATAGGATTGCAAATCTTATAATTTTAAAGCCTCTCCCAACCCAAATTGGTAATCGAACTACACCTCTTATCCTCAATCACATTCTGATTTATTACACATACTAACACATACAGTAAAAGAAAGAGGGACAGTGCATAGGCAGACATCCAGTGAGAGTTTACAGGGAGACCTGCATGAGGTACAGCAGTGCTTTAACAGTGCCCCAGGGCTGGGTGCAAGAACCTCCACAAAGGGTTGTCCTTGATTCCAATTTAAACCCTTCCAGAACAGAAAACTCAAAAGGTGTCCCATTCCTTCTTCAAAACCACCCATTGAAGTACTAAAAAGATCTTCCTTATACATCCCTCACTGTAACTTTTCCCTACTGGACCTAGTTCTGTACTGTAGAACCTCTTCCATTAGACAACCTCTTAAGTTTCAGGACAGCTATCATGAGCTGTGAAATCCCCTTTCTAGTCAGAATCCTTAATTCTTTCAACCACATTTCAGATGTTCCTTTCATAGCCTTTCACCCCTCAGGCTACTTCCTGATAGTGAGAGGAGCATGTAACCCACCTGTGCCAGAGAGAAAAATATACAGCAGGGCAAGAAGAATATGGAGATCTATAGTAGGCAAGACGACGGTACAAAGGGTAGAGGGGCACTACGTAACATGGGTAGTCTGGGAAGGCCTCTATAAAAGCACATTTAAGCAGAAACCTCAGGAAGTGAGGAAACATACCATGTGGGTATTAGAAAGAGAATTCCTGACAAAATGAACAGTAAGTACAAAGGATGTACACTTGGTGTGGTCTGCTGAGCAGCAAGGTAGGCTAAAGAAGCATGATAGGGAGAGCGGTCAGAAATGGGCAGAGAGAACTTGTAGAACTTTATCTAAGGGAGATGAAGAAGACATCAGAAGAGGGAGATTGCCTGATGGGTTTTAAATGACTGCTGAGTTAAGAATATACTATACAGGGAGCAAATAGGAAGTTATTGCAATAACTGAGATGAGTGATGAAAGTGGCTTAGACAGTGTGGCAGAGTGAAGGTCATACAAGATAATCCAGTTCTGGATATATTTTGAAGATACAGTCAAGAGGATTTGCTGATGAATAGATATAGAATATGAGTGAGAAACAGAAGCCTGGGAGGAAAATACAGTTTTGGGGCAACATGGATTTGTGTCCTGGGAGGGACTGCTACCCCGTGTGACATAGACAAGTTACTTAATATCCCTGCCTCAGTTTCTCCATTTGTAAAATGGGGGGTAATAACAGTACCTACCTAATAAGACTGTTATGAAGACTGTATATTAAAAAGCTGAGAAGAGTGCCTTCCAACATATAAATAAGCACTAAATAAATATTGCCATCATCATCAGCTTACTTGTGAAAGATGGGATTGCAGAAAGAACAGGTTTGGGGGTGGGATGAAGATCCGGAATTCAGTTTTGAACATGTTAAGATTCTTCTGGACATCCGAGCGAAGAGTGAAGGCATTAAATAGGCAGCTGGATATACGCAGAGTGCAGCAGGGAGATAGGGACTCCAGAGCTATATCTAGGAATTGGCAACATATAGACAGTATTGAAAACCATGAAACTAAATATCCCTCTAGGGAATAAATATAAAATAAAAAAGAATTTCCATGACTGAGCCATGAGGCACTCAACAATTTAGAATTTGGCAAGACAATGAGGAACCAGCATCCTATCCGCCTTCCAGGAGTGGCATCTTGAATGTCAAAGGCAGTGTTTCAAGAAGAAAGGAGTACTCGGCTGTTCCCAATGATGCGGAGAAGTCTAAGAATAACGGATCAATGGATTCTACAACAAAGAGGCACTGGGAAGTCCCGATAAGAAACGTTTTTGATACAGTGGGGATGAAAGTTAGCTGGAATAAGTTCAAGAAAAAATGGGAGTGAATAAATTGGGAAGACAGCAAATACGGTCAACTCTTCAGAGGAATACTGTTACAGGAAGGGACAGAGAAACAAGTGGACATCAAGAGAGTGATGCGGATCAAGTCTGTTGTTTCAAGATGAAAGAAAATACAGCAGTTTTTAACACCAATGGCAATGCATCAGTGAGAGAGTGAGGAGTGGGTGATGCCCCTGACTAAACAGTCAGGTGTTGTATGTTTTAAAAATGCCTGCAGCGCACCGGTTGCACGGAGCTGTGCTGAAGGAATACCAGTGCCACCTGGGCATCAGTAGCACAGACCAAGCCCCCACATGCTTCCCCGGGGAAGCTGCCTGGGCCGTGCCAACCAATGCCCCACGCCACACACCGACCGCTGTGGGCACCTTTGGCGACGGTGCTCCGGATTTTTTTACATCCTGATTATGCGAACGTGCATTTTTTTCATGGTCATCAGCAGCATGAGCGCAGAGACTTGGTTTACAGTCTGCAAACCCGAGGGGGACCCAGACAAGTGCCGGGCGCGTACAAAGCATGTACCCACTCGCACTATTAACACCACACGTGTGAGGTCTGATTTCGTCCTTTCATGTATGTTCTCACGAGTCCAAAAGGAAGGAGGCACTACTCATCGGATGATCACAATAAGGATCCAAAAAAAGGTGACGTCGCTTGCTCGGGTCACACACGTCGTAAAAGGGACATCAGCCAGGACGCCAAGCCGGACACTGTCGAAGGCGAGCACTCCTAACCACTCCCTACCCCCGCGCCCTCGCCACTCCACTCTGATCACCGCGAGCGCCGACGCACAGTAGGGCCGATTCCGATCCCAGAATCGGGGCAGTCACGGGGCAAGTGCAGAGGCCTCCAGCGAGGCTGCAGACGCCTCGCCCCATCGCTACGAAGCGGAGCACGCCGAGCTGGGGGGTTTGGGCGCTGGGGGAGCTGCGGAGCGGGGTGCACGAGTTTGTCGTGGCCCGCACGGGGCCTCCCCTCCCCGTCACTCC